GGTGATGGGATTTCCATTGATGACAAGCTTTCCATTCTCAGCCTTGATGGTGCCACAGAATTTGCCATGGGTGAAATCATACTGAAACATGTAGACCATGTAGTTGAGGTCAATAAAGGGGTCATTGATGATGACAATATTTACTTTACTAGAGTTAAAAGTAGCTCTGCTGACCAGGCGCCAGATACAACCAAATCCATTGACTCCAACCTTCACTTTCACCATGGTGTCTCAGGGATGTGGCTGGCAATGTGAGAGAAGTGCAGCTGTCTGTCAAATAGGAGGAGCTGAGAGCTTAAAAAAATAGTTTTAGTGAGTGACACAGAAAGTTCAATGGAGAGACAACCCGTGATCTTGGATGGGACATTTTTGTATTATAAACATGCTGGCTTTCCCCAAATCAAAGTATGAATTCAAGACAGTTTCAATAAAAATTCCAGTTGAATTTTTTTTGAGAAAGGAAAATATGTCACCATAATATTTACATGAAAGTTTAAAGGTCCACATAAAAGTAAGTAAAATATGAAATAGAAGCACAAATAGATGAGACCTGCCCTATCAGTTTATGAAGACATATTACAGTTTTAAGATTTGAAAGATTTGAAGATCCAAGATGGCCGAATAGGAACAGCTCTGGAGTGCAGTTCCCAGTGAGAAAGCAGAGGGTGAGTGATCACTGCATTTCCAAATGAGTTTTTGCTGCCCGCAGACCAGGAGATTCCTGGGTGGAAAAGTGCCACAAGTCTCCAGCACAGCTGTTTCAACCGGTTCAGTGGGTCTCCACACAAAAACTCACACAAATCTGGGCTGCTATTTCAACTGGTGCCTGGAATACCTGGGAGACAGAGTGGCCCATTCAACTGAAAATGAGGGCTGAAACAGGGAGCCAGGTGCTCTGGCTTGGAGGGTTCCACTCCCACAAAGACCAGCAATCTGAAATGCTCTGGATTGAGAGTTTCACAGGAAGCTCAGCTGGACCTGGGATGTTCCAGCTCTGTGGGGTGAAGGGCGTTCACCATTACCAAGGTAGTCCACCACTACTGAGGTGGTTCACCATTACCAAGGCAGTCCACCACTACTGAGGCAGTCTGCCATTATTGAGGCAGTTCGCCATTACTGAGGCAGTCTGCCATTACCAAGGCAGTCCGCCATTACCAACACAGTCTACCACTATGGAGACAGTCTGCCATTACTGAGGCAGACCGCCATTACCGAGGTATTTCTATCTATACCTCTATAAACAAAAGTGCAAGGAATTTCGCCCAGCAGCTGGGCAGAGCCCACGGCAGCTTGGCAATGCCTCTGCTGGCAGACTTTGACTAGGCTACCTCCTCGCTGGGCAGGGCAGCTCTGAAAAAAGGGTGCAGCATGTCAGGAACTTATAAATAAAGCCCCACCTTCCCAGGACAGAGCATCTGGTGAAAAAAGGCAGTTATGAGCTCCACTTCAGCAGATGTAAATGTACCTGCCCAGCAGCTCTGAATGGAACAATGGAGCTCACAGCTCAGCACTTGAGCTCCTATAAGGGACAGCCTGTCTCCTTAAGCAGCTCACCGACCCCCATATATCCAAAGAGACACCTCATAAAGGAGAGTTCAGGTTGACATCTTGTGGATATCCTTCTGGGACAAAGATAACAGAAGAAGAAACTGGCAGCAACCCTTACTATTCTGCAGCCACCACAGGTGATTCCCAGGCAAGCAGTATCTGGAGTGGACCTCCAGCAGTCCTACAGCAGAGGGGCCTGACTGTTAGAAGGAAAACTAAAAAACAGAAAGAAATAACTTCATCATCAATGAAAAGGATGTCCACTCAGAGACCCCATCTGAAATTCATCAACTACAAAGACCACAGGTAGATAAATCCACAAAGATGGGAAGAAACCAGTGCAGAAAGGATGAAAGCACCCCAAACCAGAAAACCTCTTCTCCTCCAAGGGATCACGACTCCTCACCAGCAAGGGAACAAGGCTGGATGGAGAATGAGTTTGATGAGTTGACAGAAACAGGCTTCAGAATGTGGGTAATAACAAACTTCTCTAAGCTAAAAGAACATGTTCTAATGCAATGCAAAGAAACTAAGAACCTTGAAAAAAGGTTTGATGAAATGCTAATGAGAATAAACAGCTTAGAGAAAAATATAAATGAATTGATGGAGCTGAAAAACACAACACAAGAACTTCACAAAGCATATACAAGCTTCAATAGCCGAATTGACCAAGCAGAAGAAAGGATATCAGAGATTGAAGATCAACTCAGGGAAATAAAATGAGAAGGCAAGATTAGAGAAAAAAGCGTAAAAAGAAATGAACAAAGCCTCCAAGAAATATGGGATTATGTGAAAAGACCTAATCTACGTTTGATAGGTGTACCTGAATGTGATGGAGAAAATGAATCCAAGCTGGAAAACACTCTTCAGGATATTATCCAGGAGCACTTCCCCAGCCTAGCAAGGCAGGCCAATATTCAAGTCCAGGAAATCAGAGAACACCACAAAGATGTTCCTCAAGAAGAGAAACCCCAAGGCACATAATCGTCAGATTCACCAGGGTTTAAATGAAGAAAAAAATGCTAAGGGCAGCCAGAGAGAAAGGTCAGGTTACCCACAAAGGGAAGCCCATCAGACTCACAGCAGATGTCTCAGCAGAAACCCTACAAGCCAGAAGAGAGTGGGGACCAATATTTAACATCCTTAAAGAAAAGAACTTTGAACCTAGAATTTCACATCCAGCCAAACTAAGCTTCATAAGCGAAGGAGAAATAAAATATTTATGAACAAACAATTGCTCAGAGATTTCATCACCACCAGGCCTGCCTTACAAGAGCTCCTGAAAGAAGCAGTAAACATAGAAAGGAGCAACCAGTACCAACGATTCCAAAAATGTACCAAATGGTAAAGAGCATTGACACAACGAAGAAACTGTGTCAACTAAAGGGCAAAAGAACCAGCTAGCACACTTTGACAAATCTGACAAAAACAAGCAACGGGAAAGGGAAGGGATTCTCTATTTAATAAATAGTGCTGGGAGAACTGGCTAGCCATATGCAGAAAATTGAAGCTAGACCCCTTTCTTATGCCTTACACAAAAATTAACTCAAGATGGATTAAAGACTTAAATGTTAAACCCAAACCTATACAAACCCTAGAAGAAAATCTAGGCAATACCACTCAGGATATAGGGATGGACAAAGATCTAATGGTGAAAACATCAAAAGCAGTTGCAACAAAAGCAAAAATTGACAATTGGGATCTAATTAAACTAAAGAGCTTCTGCACAACAAAAGAAACTATCATCAAAGTGAACAGACAACCTACAGAATGGGAGAAATGTTTGCAATCTATCCATCTGACAAAAGTCTAATACCCAGAATCTACAAGAAACTTAAACAAATTTATAAGAAAAAAACAAACAACACCATTAAAAACTGGGCAAAGGACATGAACACACACTTCTCAAAAGAAGACAACAAACATTTAAAAAAGTTCAACATCACTGATCATCAGAGAAATGCAAATCAAAACCACAATGCAGTACCATCTCACACCAATCAGAATGGTGATTATTAAAAAGTCAAGAAACAACAGATGCTGGGGAGGCTGTGGAGAAATAGGAACACTTTTACACTGTTGGCAGGAATATAAATTATTTCAGCCATTGTGGAAGACAGTATGGCAAGTCCAGCACCAAGCTGCACTGACATTGGAGATAAAAGTCTATTCCTTTTATTACATTAAAATCTTTAATTATTTGAAGACAGCATTAAGCTGAATGTCATCATTTTCTTTCATCTTTCCTCATCCTGTTTGCTCACACCTGGACCTACATGAGTTGGCCAATGCCCTCCCACAGTGAGCCAACAGACCCTACAACAGTTCCGGGTGAATACATTGGGATTAACATCTTCGCTTCTTGAACTTCTCTGAATATGGTCCAAGAGCAGACTTACTTGGGTTTTTGCTCAGTAGATTATGCTAGAAATTCCTGAAAAATTTCAGTCTCTAAATTACAAAATCCTTCAGTTATAAAGTGCTGTTAAGTAGTGGTATTCTGATATTTTAATGGGAATGCTCAACTCAATGTCATACTTATTAAGTTGTATTCTTTTAGACCATCATTTCTGCTTAGACCATGAGACTGCCAAGGCTTGAGCTTTTTGTTGTTGTTTTCATTGTTGTTGTTGCTGTTGGTTTGTTTTTAATTCATCCTACACTTTTACTATCAGAGTTTTCTGTCTTGAATGAATGTGATGAGCAGACGATTATCTTTCAAGCCTGGTTTCTAAGACTGTATTGGCAACTCAGTAGCATTCCATTAGAGACCACCTTCCATGCAGTATTGTTCTGTCAATTAGTGTTCTGACCTTATGGATACACCCAGTCATGCAAATATCCAACCTATGGTTTCCATTCACAGACAAGAAATGTAAATTTAAAAATATCAAATGTACTAACAGGTAAATTTTATGATTGTAAATGTGATTTTTACTATACCTTCATGTAATTTTTCTTTCTATACGAGTGTATGTTTGAAATGAAAATGGAAATTAGGCCGGCACAATGGCTCACGCTTGTAATCCCATCACTTTGGGAGGCTGAGGTGGGTGGATCATTTGAGGTCAGGAATTTGAGATCAGCCTGCCCAACGTGGTGAAACCCAAACTCTACCAAAAACACAAAAATTAGCCAGGTGTGGTGGCAGGCACCTGTAATCTGTTACTCAGGAAGCTGAGGTGAGAACCACTTGAGCCCAGGAGGTGGAGGCTGCTATGAGGCGAGATCGCGCACTGCACTCCAGCCTGGCTGATAGAGCAAATCCATCTCAAAAAAAAAAAAAAGAAGAAGAAGAAGAAGAAAGAAAGAAAATTAATGGGAAAGTATGGCAAATATGGCTGTGTATAAACTTTTGCTGACAGACATTTTCTGACAGCTATGGGGTGATGTGCAGACACGATTTGGAGGAGGAGCTGCTGGAATCTGTGGAGTTGTTTCTGTGAAAAGGTTTAAGTGAGTCAGAATTTCTAGAGCTCAAGAGAGAGCGGGAGGAATTAGAAACAGAAGTGCATTCATCGGGTTTGAGATGATAACAGGGGGCCTGGCTGACTACTCTGAACCCCGTGAACCTAATAAATATCATTTAAATTAATGCCCTAAGAAGCGTTTTTGCTCCAGTTCCTTTTCAACCAGATATAACTCGGGAATGGATAAGTGTGAGAGAATCGAGGTCAGCATTTATTTAAAGGAATGCGGAAGGGAGGAACAAGAGAGAGGCTGACTAAAACCAGAGACTTCAAAGAAATGAAGGTTTGATGGTGAGTGTCCTTTTAGGCTGAGAACGAAACGGGGCTGAATAAGCGCAGAGAGGAGGTGAGGTTCAGGGTGAGCTCATAATCACCTGCTGTGTTCACAGGAGAGAAGACAAGGGGAGAAGTGGGTGAGATAATAATTTTATATCCAAGTTACAAATTAGTAAATATCTGTCAGATTCCCAGAATAGAGTGAGCATGAGGGAATCTGAGGAAATTGAAGGAGAGATTAACGGTTTCAAATTGTCACTTAGAATATGGGCCAAATAACTTCTACAGGTGGAATATTCCATGTTTTAGCAGCCTGGAAAGGCTGAGAACATAAGGACTCAGAGCTTGGCCTGGTCAGCAATGTGGTTTTTTGCTCTTCTTTTTTCTGCTTCTATTTTTGGAGACGTAGGATATGGCACTCATATCCTATCATTACATTAAATTGCCAAAAAAACATGAGAAATTTCAGATTACAGTAAATGCTAGCATAAATGAGATTTTTTATTTTCAGAAAACATTTTCTATTTACATCATGAATTGTACTCGTTTTGTTTTTTCCATCCAGTCATATATGAAAATACCACGAGTTTTCTTATGGAATTTTTCTACTTGATTTACTTGCACACTGTAGTTCCAAAGAGGTGTACTGTTTAATGAGCCTAACTGAGGTAATGAATGGTCTTCAAACTGCAAAACAAAAGACCTTGGCATGCAAGTAAAGACAATTGGTAAATCAGTTGTCATCATGTCTATAATCAATTGCTTTGTACTGCTTGGGCAGCTCTTCTGTGTAAAAATCTTCATCTTCCTTTAGGATAAAGAAATGTAAAACCATCGCAGAGTAGGTTCAGACATTTACAGAAATTAATGTTATCTTGAAAAATAAAAATATAACTAAAAGTATCATCAATTAGAACAATTCACACTTAATTCCTATATTTTCTGTTGGCATGGTTATAGGTTGAGAACAACATGACCAAAGACTCTGTAAAGGCCACAGATTTCCTTGTTGAAAAAATTGTAGGAGATGAATTTGAATAAGAAGAAGCAAAGTTAGCTGATAACATTGGATAGAAGAGAGGGGAGCGTGTGGGAGTAGGCTGACTGTGAGCTCCTTCCAGACTGGGCTCTGCCAATTGACGTCAGCCTGCCACGAGCCTCCCCCAGATTCTGCAGACCAGCTGGGCCGGCCAACTGTGCAGGCTGTGGAATTGGTGTTAAAATATTTGGATATGGCCATGAGAAGTGAATAGACTCTTAGAATCACAGACTGTTTTCTGTGCTAGCAGAAGCCTTGGAGATTAAACTCCTATGAGAAAGGATAGTCTCCTGAATTAATTTTTCTCATTTATATAAGCCAGAAGAATTTATAATTTTAAATCAGATTTGAATTTAGTAATCAGATAAATGAGTTAACCGCTTTTGAAAATAAATTATTTTGTAAGTTCATATTTTAGGGCTCAAGAATATGACAGTATATAAAGGAGAATCAGGAGAGTTTTAAAATTGGGAATAACATTTGGAGAAAGGGGAGCTCGAAGCGTGGCCACCTAGACTCCAAGTCAGTTATTGATGGATCTGGCCAGTAGTTATTGGGCACTTTCTGTGGGCCGCGCCATGTCTTAGGCACTAGAACAAACTCAGTGTCACAAAAGTAAACAAGTAGAACTCTTTGCACTCATGCGACTGACAGCCTAGTAGAGGAGACAGAAAATAAGAAAATAGGCATAAATAAGTAAATTATTTAGTCTAAGATGGGAGCAGTGTTTTTAAAGAGCAGAGTAAGAGTATTTGAAAGAGATGTTGGGGGCTGGGAGACAGGTGGCAATTTGAACAGAATGATACAGAATGTCGGTCTTTTTGGGAGATTGCTATTTGGGCAACGACTTGAAGAAGGTGAAGGACTGAGATGAGCAGACATTTGAAGGAAGAGCTCTCCAGTAGGGGAGCAGCTGCTGCAAATGCCCCAGGGCTGAACCACACTCAGGGGGTTCAACAGTGAAGCTCGGTGTTGCTGTAGCAGGGAACCAGGGCAGAAAAGCTGGAGACAGGATGAGGGAGGAAACCCATCAGGACCTAAGGCCATTGTAAAGCCTTAGCCTTTACTCAGAATAAAATGGAGAACAACTAGAGAGTTTTAAGCAGAGGAGCCAAAGTGAGGTGATCCAATTTACGTTTTGAAGGACCTGGAGACTGGCAGACAGCAGCAGAGAAGAGGAAGAAGATCCAGACTCTGAATAAATTGCATCTCAAAGGTGGCAGCCGGACAAAGAAGGAATGTGAAATGTGAGAGAAAAAGATGAGGTAAACATAACCTGATGTTTTTGGCCAAAGCCACTAGAGAGATGTTTCCTTCAGCAGAGATGGGGGTTAAAGGATTATTCTGTCACTTATTGTGTGCTAAGCCCCGGGCCAGGGGCTAACTCCCTAAGCATGAGCCAGGCCAGTATTTTTTCATCTCTAGGTCATGACCAATTTAATTTTTACAAGTTAGGGATTCTTGACTAGAATTTTAAAAAATCAAATGGAATAATGTTATGGACACTTTGGTTCTGCACCAAGACACCTGAAATGCTGCTGGCTCAGGGCTGCGCATTTCACTGGGTACCGTCTGTGGCCACAGTGAACCCGCTGTCTGGAGAAGGAGGAGCACAGCCAGTGCCTGGCTGATGTGGGTACTGGGTCTAACCTCTTGAGTTCAGCTTGGTAATTATCAGCAGAATTCACCCAGTTCCCAGGCTCCCCAGACGATGGGCTGAGGCCTCAGCAATGAAAAGCTTCATCTTCTTCTAGAAACGAGGCAAATATCAAGGGCCAAATCCTAGTGAAATCATGATGACATGCCGAGCTTGCCAAGACAATAGAGGCAATGTGTTGATGAAGAGGAGCAACAGGATCTAGAAAATCTCTTCTGTTATGGCCTGTGGCCTGTGAAAACCAGGGAAGGGTCTGCTAGGTCAAACGTGTCTCCCCAGGTCACATTGCCATATGATGCTGTGCAGAGTAGCAGGTGAGGTCTTTGAGTGAGGTGAGGGTTATCTCACACAACAAGGGGCACAAGAGGTTATGAAATATCTTTCATAACCAGATAGATAGTCACATGGCTTACATTTTTTCAGGGGACGATGCACCATAAATCCATAAATTCTAGGTTTGTTTGCGTTAAGCTAAAAACCTTCAGTAGATGAGGACTCTTGTGGAAAATGTAATTTATCAGGAGGTCCAGCTATAAATATGTTCCAAAAGAGATCAGACACAGTCACCTACCTATTTTATTTCCTGGGAGTGTCTCCCTGCTGATCTTGTACTTTCCCAGGAGCTCTTTCCCCCTGCGCAAAAGTTAATGCCCTGACAAGAACCCTGGAAGATAATGTAAGCATAAAGCCAAGCTGACTTGGGACTTTGGAAATGGTTGTTTCTCTAATACGTGAAATAGGAATGCCAGAACTTCCATGATAAATGGTGAAGGGAGAGATCTTAGAAAAGTGGTCACAAGTGAATATACAATCTAAATCCAGAAAACCCACAAATTGACTATCTTTTGTGGAATGCCCATAGGACACCCTGCTTACTCTATTAATATATGATATGCAAGGAACTTCCACTTCCAGCCCAGATAAAGTAACAGGGACTGCATTTACCCTTCCACTTTAATAACTATAAGAACAGGCAAAATACATAAAACCATGGTTTACAGACATTGGACCACAGGCAGGGTAAAACTGAGATTCCAGAAAGAAGGGAAACAAGTGAGGTGAGCCATATGATTGCCTCAGCACATTGCCTGGAGTCAGTTCCCAGACTGCGGGGCAGGGAGGAAAAACCAGTCAAATCCTGGCAGTCCTACCAAGTTTATGTGACATATATTGAACTTTATGAAGGTGAAGGAGGCTAGAATGTGCATGTGCAAAATATCAGAAATGATGGAATTACAGAGAAAAAGTAAGAGTATCAAAGATTTGCAGAGGGGTTCCCCTGAGTCATTTAGTGAATACTGATCTGTACGTATAGGAAAGGCAACTACCTACGGCCAAAGTCAGAACAAAGGTCAATAAAAAGAGTATATATTACAATTTTTATAGTTCACACAGAACTTGGACTAGTTCATGTACCCACTTATGAGACTGAAAGACCTCTTAATATATGAGGCATCAGACAGATCTTCATAAGGGCCCCACTTTAATGCCAGGGCTATATATCAGCCCTAGATTAAAGACTGTTCTGAACTTACTCTAATATAGCTTTAAAGAGAGCCTCAAAAGGATACAACTAATTGTAATTTTATAAATGAAAAAAATTCAACAAGTTTTAGAAGAATACAGCAAAATCCAGAAAGCAACAATTTAAAATGTATGATATCCAGGATATAATATAAAGCTAACTGGCAGGCAAAAAACAGGAAAATATGAATCATAATCAGGAAAACAATCAATCAATATATACAGAACTAGAAGTAAAAAGAAATGGCACTAACAGAAAAGGAGACTTAAAAGATATTACAAATATACTGCATATATCCATGAAGGTAGAGGTAAATATGAACATGATGTAGAAATAGAAGATATTTAAAAATCAAAACTGAACTTCTAGAGATAAAAAATTCAATATATGAAATTATTTATTGGATGGGATAAATGCTACATCTTGCTGGTATTAAAAACATAGTAAACTTGAGAACACAGCAATAGAAACTATCTAAACTGAAACGCACAGAGAATTAAAAAGCTGAAAAATGATGAGCAGAGTATTGTCGGCCAATGAACATATCAAGCAGTTTAATATTGGACTACCAGATGATGGTGGGAGGGAGAATAAAAAGTATTTGAAAAAAGAACGGCAAAACAATTTACAAATTTAAGGAAAACTTTAAACCTACAAATTCCAGAAACCCAGTGAACTCTAAGTAACCAAGAAAGAAAACAAAAAGTAAAAAGAAAAGAAAACCAAACAAAGCTATGTCAAGATATATTATTATTAAATTGTTAAAAGCCAGCAATAAAGAAGAAAATCTTACCAGTAGCCAGAAAAAGAAAACATTGCTTGGAGGAGAATTATGTTAAGGATGACATCAGACTTCTTATCAGAAACTATGCAAACCAGAAAACAATGGAATTCTAAAATAATTTAAAACCATTAAAATAAAGTTAAAATAATTAGAAAAAAAATAAGAATAAAAGTAATTTTTCCAAAATTAAAGTTACTTTTTCAGAGAAACAAGACTTGATAGAATTTAAAATCAGCAGAGCAGGAATTCAAGAAATCTTAAGAGAAGTTTTTTCAAGCAAAAGGAAAATATTTCTAGATAGTTGATCTAAACAAAGAAATAAAGAGTAACCCAAATGGTAAATAGGTAAACATATGTAAATGTTTTTCTTATTTTTACTTCTTTAAAATACAATTGATGACTTAAAGCAAAACTAACAATAATACATTGAAGAATGTCTAATATATATGTAGAAATAAAATGTATGAAAAGAATGGCCCAAAGAACAGAGGGATTTAATGTAAGTAGATTGTTGTTGGGTTCTAACATAATACATAAGGTAAGAAAATGTTATTTGAATGTAGATTGTGAGAAGTTCAGTGGATATGTTGTAAATCCTAGAGCAACCATAAACACACACACACACACACACACACACACACACACACACACACACACACGGAAAAGTATAGCTAACAAGCCAATAGGGAAATTAAAATGAAATTATTAACAAAATTCATTTAATCTGAAAGGTACTGAGAGGAGACAGGGCAAATAGAAAATAGCACTTTGTTAAGTGGTCATTTTCAATCTATCCACATTGATAATTACGTGAAGTAAAAATGGCCTAAACGCTATATTTAAATGTCAGAGACTGTCAGACCAGATACAAAAGCAAGATACAACTTAAAGTCTGTCAAAAGAAAGTTGGAATGGCTATCTTAATGACAAAGTAAATATCAGGATAAATCATATTACCAGAGACAAAAGCAACATTTTACAATAAGGAAATGAGAAATTAATCAAGAGAACATGGTAATCTGAAATGTGTAAATGGGTTCAAATAACAAAGGTACAAAATATATAAAGCAAGAACAGACGGAACTGGAAGTAAAAAAAGAATCCATATCTATAGTTGGAAAGGTCTACCTTTCTCCCTCAGTAATGAAATAAATATGAGTCAGGATGTGGAAGATTTGAACATTATTGTGCTAGTTTCCCATGGCTGCTGTAACTAAATTCTTGGCCATTTGAAACAAAGCACATTAGCTTCATCAGCTGTCACAAGCTTGTCATTCTGGCGGGGGATGTGGATAGTGAAGGAGGCTATACATGTGTGGGGCAGGGAATATATGGGAACTCTCTGTACTTTCATTTCAATTTTTCTGTGAAATTAAAATCACCCTTGAAAATGAAGTATTAAAAAAATCAATTGGCTAAGAGATGATCAACAGGTTGGTAACTTCTGGGTGTTAAGGATGGTGGTGGATGTGAGAGGGTAGGAAGAAGGGGATGGATGTGACCATAAGGGGTAGCATAAGAAAGATCTTTGTGGTGATTCGTGGAATAATTGCGTATCTTTTTTTTTCGAGACAGGGTTTTGCTCCTTCATCCAGGCTAGAGTACAGTGGTAGGAACATAGCTCACTGCACCCTCAAACTCCTGGATTCAAGCCATCCTTCTGCTTCAGTCTCCAGGGTAGCTGGGACTTCCACAGGCACATGCCATCATGCTCAGCTACTTTTAAATTTTTACTTATTTTTGTAGAGATGAGGGTCTCGCTACGTTGCCTAGACTGGTCTCATATTTCTGTATCTTGGTTGTGGTGGTGGTGATTATGTGAATCTACACATGTGGTTAAGTGACACAGAAATAAAACTATATGCACACATTGAACACATATTGAAACAATGCCAATTTCCCGGTTTTGCTGTTGTACGGTATTATATGACATATTGTATATTGTATTGTATTATACAATTGCTATTGTACGGTATTTTACAAGACATAACCCCTGGGGGAAGCTGGTGAAGTGTATAAGGGATCCCTCTGTACTCTCTTTCCAATTTCCTTTGAATCTATAATAATTTCCAAATAAATAGTTTTTAAAAATTATTCTCTTGGATTTCTGGAGGTCAGAATTCTGAAATGAGTTTCACTAGGCTGAGACCAAGTGTCAGCAGGACCACCTCCTTCAGAGGCGCTAGGGAACATTCATTTCCTGCCTTTCCCACTTTCTAAAGCTGCATTCTTTGCATTTCTTGGCTCAGGAGCCCTTTCTCCAACTTCAAGACTGGCAGGCTATCATCTTCACGTCTCTCTCTGCTGTCTTCACGTACCCTTTAACTTCTCTTGGCAAATCTCTCTCTGGATGCCTCTTACAAGGATTTCTATGATTATATTTAGGGCCAGATAATCCAGGATAATCTCCTTATCTCAAAATCTTTAATCAAGTCTTCAAAGTTCCTGTTATTATATAAGGCAACATTCAGACGTTCCAGGGATTAGGACCTGGATATGGTTATGGGCTGTTATTCAGCCTGCTACGACTATCATACAACTTGCTGCAATTGACATTTATAACACACTCATCCAATACATCAGACAACACATTGTTTTCAAATACAAATATTTATCAAGATAGATTATATTCTGGGGTGTAAAGAAAGTCCTCTAAATAAACTTAAGAGGGTTGAAAGCATAAACATATATTCTTCTTTCACAACTAGAAATCAGGCCAGGTGCCCATGCCTGTGATCCCAGCACTTTGGGAGACTAAGGCAGGTAAATTAACTGAGGTCAAGAGTTTGAAACTAGCCTGACCAACATGGTGAAACCCTGTCTGTCCTAAAAATACAAAAATTCGCAGGGTGTGGTGGCGCGTGCTTGTAATTCCAGTTACTTGGGAGGCTGAGACGAGAATCATTTGAGCCCAGGAGGTGGAGGCTGCAGTGAGGTGAGATCACACCGCTGCATTCCAACGTGGGCAACAGAGTGACTCCATCTCAAAAAAAAAAAAAAAAAAAAAGAAAATGAAAATTAATGGGAAAATGTTTGTGTATAAAAGAAAAAAATTTTCCCTCTGATATCTTCCATATTATGTAATAAAATATACTAGAAATAGGCCAGCTGTGGTGGCCCATGCCTATAATCCTGGCACTTTGGGAGGCTGAGG